CCCTAAAACTAAGTAAGGTCAGAAACTTCTTCATTAATCTCACAAATTTCTCCATTGTGAGATCAATAAAGTTTCTTATCTTATCTTAAATCTAGGGATAATAATAATATTGTATTTATAACCCATAATACTTTTTTCGCCACAGATATGGCTTCACATTCTATATTATTCAAATGACTCATTATCATGTGAAATGGCCAGAAATTGGGCAATAATAATTTGAAAAAGTGTCAGAATGTGCAATATAGAACCAAGCGAGTCTATTGTCACTTTAGCCCAGACCCTCATGCTGCTAACATGTACAGATCTAAACATACAACTATATGATTCTAACATTAATCAATATTTTAAACATGGTTCTTCATTATGCTAAAGTTAGGGATTTTATACTTGCTTCTTCATTATGCTAAAGTTAGAGATTTTATACTTGCTTCTTTATTATGCTAAAGTTAGAGATTTTATACTTGCTTATTTATTAATTCTTATTAATATTTCTTGTGCTCTTCATTCCAACCATTCTCTAACTGGTGATGCAACACTGACATTTTCTCATCGTGGGACAAATAACGAATCTATTTATCTTCATATTTCTTATCTAGTAAGTAAGTAAGTAAGTAAAGTTTAGTTATAAAGCGCTTTTCACGGATAAGAATCACAAAGTGCTGTACAGGACAGTGGACAAAGACGAAACAATATAAAATACATTTACACACATGTACTTAAAGTGACATTAGTGAGAACTCAATCAACTAAAAGCTTTCTTAAATAAATAAGTCTTCAAGCCTTAAGTCCACAGAGTCCACAGAGTTGACCAGATGTAGGGACAGGGGCAGGGCGTTGCACAGACTGGGGGCAACAGACTGAAAAGACAGGTCCCCTCGAGTCTTATAATGGGTTTTGGGGACCACAAGCAGGTTCTGGCCAGAGGACCGGAGAGTGCGGCCAGAGGAGTACAGGCTCAAAAGGTTCAGGATGTACTGGGGGGCCTGACCATTTAAGGCTCTGAAGGTCAGCACTAAAATCTTAAAATCAATCAATTTAAACCATTTGACTAGCCTTCTGTGTGTATGTATCGCTGTGTCTAGGTCAAAAGAGGAGGTAAAAAGTCCTAACATAGACTATAAAGTCCAGCTTTAACCTCAGACAGATACAGGTTAAGGTGAAAGCACTCCTCTGAGACCCTCTTCTCAACGCCAATGCTCACGCTCTGTCTGCAGCTCCCAACACTTAGACAAACAACTCGTCTTAAGTGCCGTGTTTACGTCTGCGAGGGCTTTGGAAAAGGTGAAAGTGTTTGGTCCGAAGAGCAAGCCTTACAATCAGAGTGCACTGTTCCAAACGGGTCAAGTGAAAAGGAACTTGAGCAGACTTTACGGGAGGGAGAAGAAAGATACAGGATCCAAACGCCGCAGGTACGACTCCCAGGAATCAAAACACTCATCGGCGGAAACCGATGAGTGTTTTTAATGTTTTTAAACCAAACATTAAAGCACTTTCTGTTGCATCTTCTGTATGAAAAGCACTTTATAAATAACATTTGATTGATTAATTAATAAAGGGACGGACAAACAGCAATCGGTGAAAGCAATTTGTGTGTGTGTGTGTGTGTGTGTGTGTGAGTGTGTATGCGTCTGAGCCTGTGTGTGTGAGTGTGTGAGTGTGTGTGCGTGTTTGTCTGCATGTGCCTGCTATCTTAATAATAAATGTGGTTTAGGGTGGGTCTGTTGGGTGGTCGGGAGGGGGGGTCATGAGCGAGATTGTTTTTAACCAAACATTAAAGCACTTTCTGTTGCATCTTCTGTATGAAAAGCACTTTATAAATAACATTTGATTGATTAATTAATAAAGGGACGGACAAACAGCAGCTTAAACTGACAGATTCTGTGTCATGAAAAGTTCAAGTGAATTATTTTTCTATTTCTATTTCCAAAGTGAATTCTTTTTCCTTTTTCTATTTGTAATTTTGTCGAAAAAGAAATGCTGCTGCCGGTCGGTGCTAATATCCGATCCACCCACATCCGCACGCAAGGTTGAAAACGACGCTATAAGGATCCTTCAGAATGTAAACAGGTTTATGTTTGAAAGCGCTAGAAACGGCAGCTACGAAACCAATACTGGAGATACAATAATTATGCTAACGGTATGGAACTAACAAAAAATGTAAAGGATGCCTACTTTAAACACATGTCTAATTTGGCTTAAATATTTCATGCACACTTTCTGTATATGATAAAAACTGTAATTAAATTCTCAAATATTGTCTCCTATATCATTTATTTAACTGACATTTCTCATCCAAACAACTAATGACTTAACCATTTATAGGAGCATCCATCTTTTCATACGACTCTAGAAAGTGTTAAACTTTTTTTGTTTTTACCAATTGCGACTGCTCGAGAACTGCATTAGTAACCCCCACAGTCCACTGAAACTGCAAACAAAAAGTTGCGTTTCTCATTCAATTAGAAAAGTGGAGTTTCTTTTTAATATTTCAGCAAACTCCTTCACACAAGCAACGGCCAAATTAAATGGATTTGCCCAGAGCTCATTTCTATCCCACCTCATTGACGCCGTTCGACAATATTTCTTCCTGGAATGTACTTTTTATACCCAGTCTGCTTAATGCATTTGTTATTAACTGTAATGAAACAACTTGGGATTTAATTAATATGAATGAAAAATTGGATATGATATTTTTTTATTTTCTTGCCCAAGAATACAATTACTTTCCATAACCTTGAAGAATCTCCAAATAATTCAGAAACAGTAGATTCAAACTGTCCTTACTTTATTTAGTCATCACGGCGGTAATGCCCAGCCATTTATTTTTATTACGAGTGTTTCTAGTCTTATTATGCGAACCTCATTTGGGAAAGTCGGTGCTCAGTCATTTTGAAAAACCCACAGATAATAAAAGCGGGTCTCTGCGGTGCTCCAGTGGAATAATTTGTGTGTTTGCTGATTTTGTGCAAACGACAAGCCTTTCTTTCCTCTGCGGTGCGATGTGGGCGGAAGACAGAGAATACATCTTTTAGCCGGGGCGAGATTTGGCTCATTGGAAGTTCAGAGTATGGGGGAAAGGTGCGCCATGATGGACACCCAGAAGCCATCGGGGCCACGCATAGAGGAAAGACCTGGGTGAGAATGGACCTAATGGATTTGTTTTAGATTCAATAGTTATGGTGGAAAATTGGAGCCAGGTTTTTCACAGCGGACGTGGACAGAGAGAGGTCGAAGAGGCCTCAACAAGCAAAAAGATATTTTAATGTTAGAATAAAAACCTAGATAGCGACTGTAATGCATTTGGCTGGCTGTCTGCTTTGCATAACTAATACTGGATTTGAAAACATTGTTGCCAAAAAGCTATTACCAATTTAAATAATCACAGAGAAAGTTTCAAAAGTGGTCATCTGAACTGAACAGGATTTTCAGCTTCAGCCGCATTCACAAAAAACGGTATGATCCGACACTTTGTACCAATCACATACAGGAAAATTGGTGCGTCTGCTCTTTCTTGCACTATTCACATAAACATATTGAGGCAAGGAATGTGTAATGGGTAATCAGCTAGTGTCCAAATGTTATTGGATGAATAATGAATGTGACCATTTTAACCGCCCTCGGGACTTTTGTACATGTATTCCAGTGTTGTTTTGCTGAAGAAAACAAATAATATGAATCTGGATCTGTCTCGAGAAAATTGTGTAGCTACTTCAGGCGCTATTCACATAAACTGCCAAGTGGTAAACCTGGCCGATTAGCCTTCTTTAGGGCGACATTAGCTCAGTTGGTAGAGCATTGGCCTTTGAGCCAGAGGGTCGTGGGTTCGAGCCCGACCTTCACCATCGACTCCCACTGTCTGCTGTCGTTGTGTCCTTGGCAAGACACTTAACCTCTGGGAACACCAGGTGCCACAGCGCGGCGGCTGCGGCTGTAAAGTGCTTGTGCGTGTCCTTAGGCAAGACACTTTGGTGGTGGTCGGAGGGGCCAATGTTGCCTCGCTTCTGTCAGTGTACCCTTGAGTGCCCTTGAGTGTCCAAAAAAGCGCTATATAAAACTGATGCATTATTATTATTAGGTTTGTCCACTTGCTTTCCTTTGTTTGTGTATTTTTTATTGCGTTATTATTATTTTTTAAGAAGCTAAGTGCCATAAGACAAGGCAAGTTTATTTGTATAGCAGAGATCATACACAAGGCAACCCAAAGTGATCAATCACACAAGGCATTAAAATCATAAAGAATCTATTCACATCTAGAGAACATGTAATCCTTCAGTTTAATGCACAGCAAAGCAGAATTGTTTTTAACCTGGATTTGAACATTGGCAAAGAAGAATCCTGTCTCACATCTTCAGGAAGACTGTTCTGGATTTTAGCCGCATAAGTCTGAAATAATGCCTCCTTATGTTAAGTTCAGACTCTTGGCACCAGGAAGAGTGAACAAGAGTGAAAAATTGAAAGCATCAACATAGCATCGAAGTGAAGGCTCTGTCAGTGCTATTCTGCCGGGCAGCAAGTTGGACTTCGTAGAGATTCTATTGACTAAAAAGGCTTTGCTTATGACATTTTTTTCCAAGGAGATTGCAATAAAGTATGCCAATTAATTTGTGAACCAAAAAGAAAAACATTGGCTCAGAAAGACAGTATTTCTGAGCTGTGCAAGAAGCCTGTCTCTCAGAAGAAGAAGAAGAAGAAAGCTCCCAAACTGAGCAGAATTGTACAGGACTTTTACAGGCTCTGCGCACCGTCTTCCCGTGATACCGTTGGCTCCTTACGACTCCTGGCCAGACCGTTCAATCACCACAACCACCTCGCCTTAACAACAATGACTGTGCTAACCTTGGCCATCTATAAACCTGTCTGCGTACAAAAGCCCTTTCCATAGGGAGCCATTAGGCCTTATACACCGAGCCATGGGGGGGAGGAATGTGTCCACGACAACAGATGGGCTGCAATCGGCCGAACAACAAGTCTCCACCAGTTTTAGCAGAGGAGAAAAATTAGGCGTAGTTCAGAGTAGCATTGTTGCTCTGTGATCCATGAATCACAGCAGATAAAACATGGCCTCGTAGCGTGTCCCGTCCATATTGACACGAGATCTGAGAGAAGACAATTGACAGACACCCATTATAAAACTTTTTAGAGCCCTAAATATTCAAATATTTCTTTAAAAGCTAGGATTTTCTGCTTCCGGGTGGATCATCAAGACTCTTGGTCCTCCCAATTGTCAATTGTTGTTTTGTTCAAAGTAGAGAGGGCGGTTTTTTTCTAAAATTTAGGAAAAATCTCCTGTAAACCTTTAACTAACAATATAATACAATTTTCAACTAATCGGGTTGTAAATAAAAAAAACTCATTATTTTTTATTGCTGCACCACTGAATGTTTGTTGGTTTGTTATGTGATTGTTGTTTGTCAAAATCACAGCCAAAAAAAGGAGAGATCTAAACAAGAAAGAGAGACACCAGAGAGAGAGACCAGAGAGACACCAGAGAGAGACCAGAGAGACACCAGAGAGAGACCAGGGAGAGAGACCAGAGAGAAAGAGCAGAGAGAGAGACCAGAGAGAGACAACAAAGACAGACCAGAGAGAGAACAGAGAGAGACCAGAGAGAGAGAACAGAGAGACACCAGAGAGAGACCAGAGAGAGAGACCAGAGAGAGAGACCAGAGAGAGACCAGAGAGAGACCAGAGAGAGACCAGAGAGAGACCAGAGAGAGAGACCAGAGAGAGAGACCAGAGAGAGACAACAAAGACAGACCAGAGAGAGAACAGAGAGAGACCAGAGAGAGAGAACAGAGAGACACCAGAGAGAGACCAGAGAGAGAGACCAGAGAGAGAGACCAGAGAGAGACCAGAGAGAGACCAGAGAGAGACCAGAGAGAGACCAGAGAGAGAGACCAGAGAGAGACCAGAGAGAGACCAGAGAGAGACCAGAGAGAGAGACCAGAGAGAGACCAGAGAGAGACCAGAGAGAGAGACCAGAGAGAGACCAGAGAGAGAGACCAGAGAGAAACCAGAGATAACACAGATAAAAAGGTTCTTTATGAATACAGCTCTCTTGAAAGAATAAATGACTTTTCTGGCCCCTGGAAAAGCCATGTTCCAGCTCCTTTCCTCAGGCAGAAGATATTGTTCGTTGAGATGCAGGATTCAATCTTCAATTCAATTTTGAAATACATTTAGTTTCTTATAGCCCTACATCACAACAATAGTTCTCGCTATGGACTTTACAAAGTTGTCAATTCACCAACCCAGATGACTGAAAAACACATAGAGCCATTGGTCCATAAGGGACAGACCAATGTCCAGAAATGTTAATAAACTTCGTTCCACAACTGTTACACCGTTTATTAGCTTGTTTTATGCCTGTTATTTTAGCTTGTTTTATTACTGTACTTGCCTTGTGCACACTGGGGACTTTTACACATGTATCCCAATGTGGTTTTACTGCAAATGGCAAATAGAATGAATCAGAACTTATTTTTTTCTTGACAGAAGTCTTAGTATTTTTTTTTTAAAGAGGGATTTGGAAAAGTGGTGCAGGGTGGCATCCTTTCTGGAACATTATGTATTCTTTGACACCTTTGGAACTCATCACAATGATCTTACCCATAATCCCACACAAAGAGGGCAGAGTGCATCACTAAGAGCTCGCCTCTGAACATTTTGTAAAACTGCAAAAGGTAAAAGAAAGTTGTTTTTTTTAAATCTTGAGCCCATGTCAGGTGCACCTCCGTGGAGATAAAAAACTTAAAACTTACAACAATGATCCATTTTCAATTCAATTCAATTTCAATATAATGTATTTTTGTATAGCCCAAAAAAAAAAACAGTAGTTTCTTCTGAGGACTTTACAAAGCTGTTGATTCGCCAACACAGATCAGAGAATCAAACACAAGAAATTCAACAATTAAAGAAATGGTCTTTAATTAAGATTATGGGCCATAAATGTTAATAAATGTCCATAAATGTCATATATACAGTGCATATTTGGAAAACTACATAACAATTCAGGGCGACAGTGGCTCAGTTGGTAGAGCATTGGCCTTAGAGCCTGAAGGTCGTGGGTTCAAGCCATTCCCCACCGACTCCTACTGATGTCTGCTGTCGTTGTGTCCTTGGGCAAGACACTTAACCCCACTTTGCCCGAAGCCCCCGCTGAAAGATCAAGGCTCCTGTCGACTCAGGACCACCTGCAGGAGGATCAGTGAGGGGCTGGTGCTATGTGTACTGGGTGCAGCTCTGGCCACCCCCCCAACCCAGAAATGGATTAAGGGGAAGAAAATGGATGGATGGATGGACATAACAATTGAATAACTATTTCAGAAGTAAATCCCAAAATGGACCAAGTACTACAATTCTATCGTTGCATTTCATAAAGTAATTCTGTATTCAAGAGTGACAGAAATGACAGCAATAGCACTGGATTCTGATATGAGTCAAGGTATTTCTCCTGTCAGAACAATTTTGTACAAGAAGACATTGTCATCGCCACATCTATTATGTATAAGTCCCGATTCAGCCGTTCCAACATAATCAGGTGAATTTTTGTCACTTGTCAGCCCCAATCCTGCGAGTACTTTGGGACACCTCCATAAAGTACAAATTCATCCACATTTGATACAAAATAGAACGCATTAGGATGTTACCCTTGTTATTCTCTTGTTCCGTGCTCAGAAACATACTTGTAGTTGTGCAAAATGTTTTTGTCAGCCTCTGATTTCACTTTGACACAGTTGAAATCCAAAGTTATCCTGTGGCGTTATAGGTCCATAAATCACCAAACCATTCTTAGACTTGATATTGTGTCAAGACATTCTCTGTCCTGGTTTTTCTATAGTTATTCTATGTTGTTCATTTACTTCCTATAGTTTGACTTGGCCAACAGATGTGACATGGCTATAGCTATTAGCTGATAACGCCTTTAGCTGTGAATTAAATAGTTGCTCAGTGAATAAGGTACTTTTTTCTAAATTTGACACACACAAAAAAAGCCCCTAGAGAACATCTTCGATAGGTATATTCTGACCATTTTCTCTGCTTTGGTTCAGGGTGAAATTCGAAATTATTTTTTAGCATTTTTTTTTTTTTAAGTTGGTAAACGTATTTTCATTTCATCTTGCAGACATAGAATTCTCAGAGTCATCGAACTTCTTCTCAGCATGTTTGAGTCTAGGGACGGTTCAGAAACAGTCCATTACTAAATTAGTTCAAATAATTGACGAGTTGTGATTAATTGATTCACTTAGGAGGAATATCCATTTAGAATTGTTCATATACAATCATAGGCATCTTAATATCAAAACAATGCACTTAACCAGTAGATTAGATTAGATTCAACTATATTGTCATTATAGTTGTTAGAAAAATGCAACAAAATGTAGTTTAGCATCAAACCAGTAGTGCTATAGAGCAAATATAGCATAATATTTACAACACAGATTAATATAAATAGTAAGTCAGAAATTAATGTTTATTTATAGAGCGCATTTTACAGACCAAGGTCACAAAAAATGCTTTACAATGTCCAGAGTTCAGATATTTTTCCTAGAGGCCAAACACACTGGTGCATCAAAGCATCCAGCCAACACCAACCTAACATTCAGACCTATTGTACATGTTTTTAGCGGTAGGGAAACCGGAGCACCCGGAGAAAACCTACGCAGACACTGGGAAAACATGCAAACTCCACACAGAAAGGCCAAGAGGTGGGATCGAACCCAGGACCTTCTTGCTGAGAAACAAAATCTCTAACTGCTGTTGCACATGTGAGACTGTACAAAGCTAGTATTTACATTACTTTACATTAACGTGGCTCCAACTTGCTTTATCAGTAAACTTTTAATGGCCTGAGTTTGGCAATAGACTCAAAGTCACTGTATATGATAGCCCATGTACTGCTGCTGTGTTTCCCGAAGTTTGTCTTGGAAAAGGCGCCCGTGTGAGAGACATGGGGCAATGGCCGGAGAGTTAGCGCCTTGTTACCCTGACGGACGCTCTCAAACAGCTCACCCGGGACAGAGCCGCTGTTGTCGACTCGATAACTTGACAGAAACAAGAAGCGGCAGCAGTCGGGGTTTGTTAAGAGTGCTCCCGACTCGGCTTCCCAGGGCTCCTCACCGAGATCAGTGCCAGACTCTAGTGTTTGTGTAGTTAAGAGTCGGCCTATCAGCGGCCTTATTTACATACCGAGCGCTTTTAAAGGAGTTCGACGAGGTGAAAAGAAACAATCTTAAATGTACAAAAATGGTCTGAAAAGAACAAATAGAAATACTGCTGTGTACTAACAATGCTTTTCTATTAAGTATGTCCATTCGACCTTTTTAATCCATGCTAAATTGACTTTTTTGACCAATTAACCATGTGACAATATTGTTCCCTTATCAAAAACAGACCTGGAATTGTTTTTAGGTCCATCTACGTAAATATCAGGAACCTCACGCACATGTAAGTTCAAATTTGGAAACAGAAAATAAAACATTGCTCCTGTGACATGTGTGTGTGTCAGATCTAACAAAATACAGCATTTTTGACAAACTTTTTTCACCACATATTTTTTAAAAGGAGCAGTATGTAAAACATTTGGCCAAGAGTAGTACTACCACCTCTCCCACTCTCCCTAACTCAGGTTGCCAGATATGCAGACGAATCCAGCTGGGACCACAATAAGTGAATATACAAGAGTTTTTTCAACAAACTCAATCTAAAATATAATGACACGCCAGCACAAATCTGCGCTACTTTTTCTTCAAAAGGACGTATATCCCAATGCACTGCTTGGAAATGGATAGCACTTTAGTAATAAATACAAAAATAAAGTCAGTTAGTGCAGCTTTAATTTGTTGTGTCAATAAAAGCATGTGCTTCAATGGGTCAAGAGCGGTTAAGTGGTCTTGCAATGTACATTTTGAGTACATTTTCCACCTTGTATGTTTGTTTATTGTGCTGGTAAGTTTAATACTGCACTATTTATTTGTATTTTGTTTATTTTTGTATTTCAACATGTTGCACACTTCTGTCTTTTGCACAAATCTGAGTGATTCTATCCATGCCAAATGTGACATGTACATTTCTCCTGTGTGAGATCAATAGAGTCTATCTTATCATATCTTAGCTTATTTTATCGTGTGTGAAAAGTTCAAATGTTATTTTATCTTGTGTTGAATCAATCACTGATCCAGTCTTATAGTGGGAATTATGTATTTGTTTAAGTGTAATGGAACGACTGCTTGCTTTAATTTTTATGGTTTCTTGAATTAGGTGTGAGTCCACAGGAGGACGGCTGCTCTCTGAGTGTGAGCATAGCCTTGATCTTTCAGTGGGGGCTTTGGGCAAAGTGGGGTTAAGTGTCTTGCCCAAGGACACAACGACAGCAGTCCTCAGTCGGTGGAGAAGGTGTAGAGGCGGGAATTGAACCCACGACCTTCAGGCCTGAAGGCCAATGCTCTACCAACTGAGCTACTGTCGCCCCAATAGTATAGTATTTCATATTCTAAAATATCCTGAATAGTCTCATTATCATTTGCAATGGCGGAGAATGCCTAATATCTCCTCTGTGTGCTGCTGTGTACTCTTTCTGATTAAAGGTATGTTAGAGACTGTGTAGTGGGCTCCTATCAACTCCATGGAGATGTAATTGCTTTGGGCGCTATGTTTATGCATTGAGGTTTGTGTTCTTGATGATGAGGGAGCTCAGATTGGACCTTAAACTCGCTTGTTTCCATGGAAATAGATGTTTCATGCAATTAATGGAAACATAAAAGGCTTAAGCTAATGAGTTGCTGATGATGATCGGCTGAAGTGAAGTGTGTAGTTCACCCTTAAAGCTGAGGAACAGAACAAACATCCCGGCTCTCAAAACAGCAAGCTTCAATCGCTAGTTTCTGCACAAGGGGTCTCCAACCTGGTCTGGGAGCTTTCAGTAGCTCACCACCCCCTTCCAAGTAGCTCACAGAAGGAATTAGAAATTACATAAATATGCAAAATATTGAGAAATGTACAATACACAGGCCCACAACTTTACAAAATTAAAACTAAAGAGGTAATACAACTAAGCTATCTCACAGTTCAATAAACGAAAAAATCCCCTACACTTAGACGTAGTACCTGAAGCTATGTTATCTGCCAGTTTAGTCCTGAGAAAGTAGCTCTCTGAATAAAGTTGGAGATCCAAGTTCTACACATGTTTATTGGGCCTCTGAAAAGTGAAAAAAAGGACAATTCTATCTCTCTCATCCCAAATTATCAAATAAATAGTGACTCTCAGTGACTCTTTCTTCCAAAAATAAAAAATAAAACAGAGCTCTATTGTATATAGCATCTGAACAGTGAGACGCCTCGTTCAGAGTCCACAGAAGCTCTAGATGTTTTTTGTTTTCATTTTTTCTTCAACTGATGGTTTTATTTGTTATAAAATTATGTATATGACGATTTACCCCACGCAGCTCATTCACCTGCTTCATGGACAGACCATGTACATTCTGAGAGTTAAAGGTGCATTAAGTGATGTTGTTAGCTTAGCCGTAGCACCAACAGGAAACCACTCCCCCCTCCCCTCCCTCTCCACCAAACCAAACATCCAGCATTTTCTTTTCTTTGTCACAACAGGGAGAGTGGGCGACAAACGTGAAATTTTCTGTTCAGTCATTTTAGGTTTTAAAAAATCCGATAACTCCGGTGCATTCGCGAGAAACAGGAAGAGGAGGTAAATACATCCCATTGGTTCGTTGGTAATGAACGAATCCCATTGGTTTATTTAGACATCTGGTCAATTCCATTACTATTTGCAAACGCATGATAACTTTACTACTTTTAGGGTTTAGGGACGTTTTCCCACAATATTTAAAAAAAAAATGCGTCTTGGAAAATATCCCTGACTGCATCTTTAAGTCATATATTACTAAGTTATAAGTAAGTATCATTTTACTTTGTTTAATACAATTTCAAGATTCTTCTCATAACATTTTGACTTTGAAATAAAAATTACTCTGACTTTAATCTCATAGCGTCTGGCAAAAAAAGATCAGGTGAGCCCTATGCTTCGTCGTTACTTTTGGGACAAACAAGAAGTATTATTCATGAAAAAGTGACTCCGGCTTCATCAAACTATTATTATTATTAGACTTAATCATCAACATGAAGGCCTCTAGTTAGTGATATTGAGAAATTGCTTTTTTTGTTTAGAGAAAATATGTATGCTTTGCTTTAGATAAAGTTTAAAAGTACATAATATCAGTTTAGAGGATTTAAATCTCACAGAATCTCTTCACATTTGGTTGACTTTAACAACCCGAGCGAGAGTCGCCGAGCGTGATGACTACTGATTAAATAACCAGACCATGTAAACATTCTGTGGCAGTAAGCACAATGCTCTCACCTGATAGACGTGGTAGGCGTTGGCAGCGCGGCCCTGAAGGAACACTGAGGGGATCCACACATTGATGAGGGCTCGGTGGGCGCTGAGAGAAACACAACATCATTCACGTTAACACAATCACAAAGATGGACGTTTCAAGCATACACTGTCAATAATCCAGGCGTCTTGAAAAAGTATCTTGTGTCCCCCTGGTGGACGTCAGAGGTACACATTATTTTAAAGCAATTTCTTTTATCAAGGAAACAGCCGCACCATTTATATCATCGTAGTTTAGTCTATAATTGTAATTCCTTATTCAGCCCAGCACTCTACAATACTGAGCCTTTACTTCCTCTGGTCCAGATGCAAATTATGATCTAAGTAGGTAAGTAAAGTTTATTTGTAAAGCATAATTCACAGACCAGGATCACAAAGCGCTTCACACATTGAAACACATAAAATACACATACAAGTCAGAATTAAAAACAAAACACAGAAAAGACAGTTCACAGAGGCCTATGAGCAATGAGGCGAGAAAGCCTGTCTAAACAAATGCGTCTGAAGTTGATACTTAAAATCATCGACAGTCTCTAACATACGCAGAGGCTGAGGAAGCTCATTCCAGAGGTGAGGAGCAACTGCCTGGAAGGATCTGTCTCCTCTGGTTTTAAAGCGAGTGCGGGGGACCATCAACAGGTTCTGAGTGGAGGACCTCAGACTCCTGTTGGAGGGGGTGGATCAGGCACTGGATGTATTCAGGCGCCGGACAATGAAGTGCCCTGAATGTCAACAATAGAATTTTAAAATTGATTCTGTGTGAGACAGGGAGCAAGTGTAAGGACTTCAAGATAGGTTGTATTGTGGGCTCTCCTGTGGGTGCGGGTCAAAAGCCTCGCAGCAGAATTTTTAACAACTTGTAAACAAGCTAGATCTTTTTTACTGAGACATGTAAGCAGGCTGATACAATAGTCCAATCGCGAGGAAACAAAAGCGTGGACAATCATCTCTACCTCCGGACCCGAGACCATTATGTCTGAGCTTGGAGATGTTGTGCAAGTGGAAATTACAGTGATCTACTTCCACAAACGTTTGATTCATGGTTTTTATGTTTTTTATGTTCTGTTCAAGTATAAGGTTGAAAATATTGTCCAATTCTCATTCATTTGAAACATAAAGATACTGCACATTAATTAAACCTGGCAAAAAACTGTGTACAATGTAAAGTGTGTGCAATTTATTGGTATAATTCTATATCTTTCCTTGTCTCTGTCTTTGCAAATCCAGATACAAACCATAAAAGCATTGACCAAGATGCCTTCATTCATGGGGGAAACTTCAGCTTGTCTTAATAACCAACATATTAACCCGTCAGCCCTTGTTACGGCGTGAAGCTAACATTGTTGAAACCAAGGCCTATATACGGAAATTGGTTCCAGCTAGCTTATGTACAAATCAGCCACTTCCTCATTCAACGAACACAGAAAGTCAGTCGGTCCACTCCTCAAAAACAATCTATGGTAAAAGTGGAAAGTACAAAAGACAGTCTTACGTTTCAAAATCCGACAAACTGGGGTCATCCGATGTCTGGCTCAAATCACCGGGAATCTGAAAAATGTATATAACAACAATGACATACATTTAAGTATTTCCTTCATATTTGTGCAGAGTTGTATCACACATGATAATTATGATGAAAAAGAAAAAGTGTCTATCAATTTGATCAACCTCTAAAGAAATATATGTATGTAGTCCATATTAGGACACGCACACTATTTTCTCTAACTCAAAAACTCTTAGGAGGGATAACTGCAAATGACGCCATTTCATTCAATAAAGTAATAATTTTGTCCTGTAAAATTATCTTGAAAATGTTGACTCTGGCATTGATGAGAAAAGTAGAAAACATGTGGACAACAGATGACTAGAATGAGTAACACTCCCATCTAGTGGTAGAAGCGGACATTACAGTCTTAATCTTGCACGGCACGGTTTGATTCAACATATGCAGTTTTATTCAACGCATTTTGACAGGATAATTAGAGGCAATTATTCTGTTCAAATGTAGTAGACATTCCTAATCTTAGCCTGGACGGAGGTAAAAAAACAAGTTTAATTTGATGAAGAAAATAAAAACAATATAAAAGAATGAGGTTGCACTTCTTTCGCCTGTGGAGCACGGACGGTGAAGTGTCCAGGGCTGCAGTGTTAATGGGAGTCAGACCAAGTTGTAACATATGCTAATGTATTTCTAAAGCCTGTGCCAGCCAACCCATCAACTTTCAATTACATTTCTCTTGAGGAGCGACGCGTCAGGTCGAGGTGGAGGAAAGTCACCACAAACACAACACCGGGACATAAACAGAAGGACATTGGGTCGTGTTGTGGGGAGCGAGGGGAGGGCTACACCAAGGCTCAAACACTGACTGAAGTATTGGATGCTGGTGAAATAATGGTAATAATAATTAGAGATGCACCGATACCACTTATTTCACAACAAACACGAGTACCTTAAAGAAGCTATAACCGATTTATTTTCTAATGAGTTCATAAAAATGCGTATTACTGCATACAAGTTGTATTATAATCTGTAATTTAATTGAAAACTTGAGCTCATTCATTCAGCTGTGTATGAATTCAGGCCGTAAAAAGTGCTGAGTAGAGACTTTAGCGTGACTCCCGCTCTCCTCCAATCACAGAGAAAGGCTGCGTCCTCTAGCCTCTACAGCGCTGCTAAACACAGTAGCATGTTAGCATAAGTGGCTATAACTCCTCTGGCTGTAACTGCAGACACAGCAAAACAGCCCAAACCACACAACAGTGAGGAAGGGAAGAGGGAACTAAAGCCAAAAAATGATCAAAGAAGAAATCAAGCCCGGGTGAATATACGTAGCGCTAGCTTACATCGTATCCTCTGGAGAGACCTGCGGGAGCGGGAGCGGGTCGGCACTAGATCATATTCGGAATCGGGACAAAACTGGAAGTAACAATCCTACTTTTGAATTAGTTTTAGACTAATATATCCTTAAGTTGTGACTGGTTAAGTTTTAGGTGTCTGAGTAAGATGGTTAAGGTTAGGGTTAAGGGTGGGTTGGGGTTATTTTATGGGAACGGCTGGTTAAGTTTAGGCATAAATAGGTAGTTTGTTACATTTACTTCCGCTGCCGTCCTGCTTCCGTATATGATCTAGTGCTGACCTGCGGGACCGCCTCGAACTATCTATGCTCGGACTATCTATGCTCGGACTATCTATGCTCGGACTATCTACGCTCGGACTATCGTGCTCTGACTATCTACGCTCGGACTATCTACGCTCGGACTATCTATGCTCTGACTATCTATGCTCTGACTATCTATGCTCGGACTATCTATGCTCGGACTACATTCGGACGCAAAAATAGCATTAATCTTTCAGTTATATATTTTGTTGGCAGTGCGTTGCTTTTGCACCATTTCATCAGTGATTGTTGTACAGCTTACAAGAAGTTGCACTAATGCTATGTTAGCATATGTATCAGATCGCAAATAAAACTAGATGGCTCCGTGGGATGAGAGCGTAGAGGAAATGAGAAGCCTGTGAGCGAGTTGAGGGCGGTTCTAAACATTCAAATTGAAAAAACCCCGCAAAAACGGGTTTGGCTCCTTTAATTTGAGTACTTGCCGATACCAAATACCGATACGAGTACTGCACATAGACTGTAAAGTTTACTGTATAATATTGTCTCTGGGAATTTATAAAACTAATACAATTGAACATTTTAGCAACTGTTTTAACAGTCAACAATAAGAACCACTGTCATTTTGCAAGCATATAAATGGTACAAAGAAATATCTCCGGTGCTAGCAAAGGTTACTTTGTTTTGGATCCACCTCGCGACAGTTTTGCTTTGTACAGTCGCTTTACTCTTGTCACTCTGCCTTAAAACCGCCATCTTGTCCGCTTGCTGCTAGCCTGCTTGCTGCTAGCCTGCTTGCTGCTAGCCTGCTTGCTTCTAGCCTGCTTGCCGCTAGCTTGCTTTCTTGCTGCAGAGTTTGGGAGATCACCATGGCAACATGTGCCGCACAGCTGTCTGCCGTTGTGACGCTAATGTATATTAAAAATGTGGGTCTCGATTGCCGGAATCGGGTCCTATGGTACATGTGACGGTGGACAGAGCAAAAAACAGGACATTATTGATGAAAAGCTGCAGGAGCTGGAGATCGCACATAGTAATAACCCTTGTGCAGCGTTTTTTATTTTTTATTTTTTTAAACAAACAAAATCCTGTATCCTTTTGCTATAACGTCACAGTTGTTTGTCACTTTCTTGTGGTGTTTTAGTAAAATATCAAACACAAAATATTCCTGTTTGTGGTTGTGCAGAAGTTCAATGTTCTGTGGTGTTTGCCGTTCCGTTTACACACAGGATGATTTGTGTGTGCTCAGTCTTATGGACCTCATGAATCATTGTGGCGTTGCGTAATCAAAAGCAAATCAGCGCCGCTAATCCTTCAAAGAGGATTAATGCACGTCCAGATTAGTTAATTTGTGAAAAATAGTAGCGGAAGCATCTTGATAAATAGGTGGGGGGTGTGTTTAGTGCTGGCAAACATACAAACAAACACGCAGCCTTTCGTTAGACCTTTTAAGTGAAAATCAGGAGAAATATCAAATAAATGTGCATTGTCAATATAAACGGGATTCAATTGTGTAAAATAATTATTCTGGTGCTACTACATCTCTTAAGTTAACAACATATCTCTCTGGTCTCTCCCTCTGGTCTCTCTCTCTGGTCTCTCTCTCTGGTCTCTCTCTCTGGTCTCTCTCTCTGGTCTCTCTCTCTGGTCTCTCTCTCTGGTCTCTCTCTCCGGTCTCTCTCTCCGGTCTCTCTCTCCGGTCTCTCTCTCCGGTCTCTCTCTGGTCTCTCTCTGGTCTCTCTCTGGTCTCTCTCTTGCCTCTCTCTTGCCTCTCTCTTGCCTCTCTCTGGTCTCTCTCTGGTCTCTCTCTGGTCTCTCTCTGGTCTCTCTCTGGTCTCTCTCTTGCCTCTCTCTTGCCTCTCTCTTGCCTCTCTCTGGTCTCTCTCTGGTCTCTCTCTGGTCTCTCTCTGGCCTCTCTCTGGCCTCTCTCTGGCCTCTCTCTGGCCTCACAGTCCTGTTTCAGAGCAGAGCACCTTGTTTAACCTTGATGTCACTAAACTGCACACTCACTGCACCAAGAAGCAAACTTTTTCTAACCCTAACCCCTATCTTAAAGTTAGTGATACATTCTCTAAGTTTCTGCAGAAAGTAGAGACACTGACGAGCTTTCTTAAACCAAGGAAAAGAGTTAAACCAATAAACTTGCAAAACCTCCTATACATCTAGGATTTTAGCTGCATGAATCTGAAATGCTGGTTCCCCGTGTTTAGCTCTGACTCTGGGCCCCAACAAACAGAATACATTTGTAATAATAAATTGTGGGCGAGCTGCTGATAAGTGAGTTCACCTCCAGTATTGCCCTGGCTGTTTCTTGGGCCATGCAGTAGAATGCTTTTACAAAAATGCACTGTCTAAACCCAGCTAATATTCATTTATCTTGTTTGAGTGCTCTTTCTTCCTTCTGTTCTGTAGTGTACGTGGCATCGTGTGGCAATCTCACCAATGTGGGACAAATAAAGGATTTATTCTTTTTGGATTTCCAGATTATACTTGTAACATTGTAAAGTCGATGTCAGAACCAGTGTTGGGAGTAACGCGTAACACAAGTATTCTAATCACTGTAATGTAATGTTTTAGTGTTTTGTTTTTATACTATGACACTGTGAGATCAGCAGCAGAACACATCTGTGGTTCTGCTGCTGGTAGAAGATGGATGATTTGTATAAGTTTGTAATTTCTACTTAGTTTGTATAAGTATTTGGTGAAAGTAACTTCAAAGTTATGTGTAATTTAGGGATAGTATTATTGTAGTGTAATACACACTTTGAAATATCAGAAAGAATACATCATGTGTTTGAAGTAACTTGCCCATCTCTGTTCCCCACAGTCAAATGTTTTCCACGTATTAAAAATGCCCACTTTCTGCAGCACGGCCCACTACTGCACTATAATGCGAAGGATTTTTTAATAATTTATAGTTTACATGAGCTGGTCTAACTTTTTCTCCCATAAAGAATACAAGTTATCTGAATTATTTAGACCCAAAATACTGTCTTCATCTTATTTAATAATTAACTTTTGAACTTTGAGGGCAGTGGCTCAGTTGGTAGAGCATTGGCCTTTGAGCCTGAAGATTGTGGGTTCAAGTAAGACCTACTTCATGACTCCCACTGATGACTGCTGTTGTTGTGTCCTTGGGCAAGACACTTAACCCCACTCTCTCTCTAGTCACTCTCTCTGGTCTCTCTCTGGTCTCTCTCTGGTCTCTCTCTGGTCTCTCTCTGGTCTCTCTCTGGTCTCTCTCTGGTCTCTTTCTGGTCTCTTTCTGGTCTCTCTCTGGTCTCTCTCTGGTCTCTCTCTGGTCTCTCTCTGGTCTCTCTCTGGTCTCTCTCTCTGGTCTGTCTCTCTGGTCTCTCTCTCTGGTCTCTCTCTCTGGTCTCTCTCTCTGCTCTTTCTTTCTGGTCTCTCTCTGGTCGCTCTCTCTGCTCTCCCTCTCTGGTCTCTCTCTCTGGTCTCTTTCTCTGGTCTCTCTCACTTCCTGAAGCCCCTGCTGAATAATCAAAGCTCCTGTGGGCTCACCACCTGCAGGAGGATCAGTGAGGGGCTGGTGCGAAGTGTACTGGGTGCAGCTCTGACTGCCACCCCCCCCGACCCAGAAATGGATTAAGGGGAAGAAAATGGATGGATGGATGAATGTTTCCACCATTCTAGAGAAATTATTACAAATGATCCCCTACAGCAACAGTAGTTTTCAGTCTTTCAGTCTGAAACCTGTAGATGTGCACGTTTCTCCAAGTGCATTTTGAGAGTAGTAAAATGTATTGGTAACACTTTAGATTAGCCCACACTAATTAAAAACTAATCAAGTGCTAATTAGCCCACCGTAACGCTAGGCCTAACCCTAACCACATGGGAAAGTGTCAGTTAGTAGTTAGTTAGATGTTGAAAAAGGCCATGTAGAAAAAGGACTAATGAGTGCTTCATGCATACTAATTAAATAGAAGCAATATGTAAGATTTTCATGTCAACTCATCATTAAAGGGCCCTAATTTGTCATCATTAAAGGGCCCTAATCTGTCATCATTAAAGGGCCCGTATCTGTCATCATTAAAGGGCCCTAATCCGTCCAAAGGCATTAATAAAACCCACTCTTTTCCAATACTTCTTTAACTGATAACAGTAGTTCAGAGATATTTGAATTTCAAAAGTACTTTTACAGCCCCTAAATCTTGTTATTGTTTTCATTTCGATGTCCCGCCCTCCACCGTTTCACCAATCAGAAAGTCTGGGCTCTGGGTTGCCAGAACTCATTGCGTCAAGCTAATCTCATTGGTAAAGTACTATGTGGCCGCAAAACTAAAAAAGGTCTCATTATGATTCTCAAATCATTGTTGACAAAACTCTTTTCTATTCAGCTGTTATGGTCCCAGCTGGATTTGTCTGCATATCTGGCAACCTGAGTCAGGAGAGAGGGAGAGGCTGCAGTACCACTTTTGGCCTGCATTTTACACACGGCTCCTAATCTAAATGACCATAAATTAAACACCATTTACCACTTAATTGTTTGTTAAATACTAAAAGACATGTGACCAGTGTGTTTAATAATTTCAAAGAAGGAAATGAACTAGATGATATTGCCCAAACACAACATCTGGAACATTGAAAGCGGGTGGTGTCTTACCGGTCCGCGGAGGTCGATGAGTTCCTGTCTCATGTGGACAATAAGACGGTCCTTGGCCATGAGGGAGCAGTACAGGCGTTCATTAAACTCGATAAGCTCGCCGTGCATCTCCGCCACCTGCGGGGAACACACACAGACGAGACTTTATGCAACTCGGCTCCGCAGGTCTCCCATTTCAAATCTGCTCATGATCGGCTGCTTTGTTTTGACTCCATCGCACATGTTTTTATCAGAAGCAGTCATTTATCTTCTGCACAAAAACTGCTCTGAATCAATCCGTTGGAGTAAGTAAGTAAGAAATCTTTATTTATATCATGATAATAATGCATCAGTTTTGTCATTATGATATCACTCCATACATTGTGGTGATAAACTAATATTGTAGCCACGTCTGCCCTGGGGCACACTGACAGATACACCACGGGCGGCACGGTGGCTGAGTGGATAGCACTCTCGCCTCTCAGCAAGAAGGTCCTGGGTTCGAATCCCGGTCGGACCAGGGTCTTTCTGTGCATGTTCTCCCCGTGTCTGCGTAGGTTTCCTCCGGGTACTCCGGTTTCCCTTACCACTAAAAATATGTCCAATAGTTCTGGCATGTGCCTCCTTTACTGGCGACCCCACTCCCATCTCTGTGTGGAGTGAGAGACAAATGCCCAAAATTAACAATTGTAAACCGCTTTGAGAAAAAGGCGGTATATAAATAAAGATTACTACTACTACTACTACCACCTACCATTTACACACACACACACCAAACTCATTCCAATGTAGGACACAGCCACAGTTTGACCATTTACAGTTACAGCCGCCCCACCTTGACGCCTAGTGTTCCCCGAGGTCTCCCATAACAGTATAAACCAAGCCATTACCTGCTTAGCTTCACAGGTCTGACAGGACCTGGCTATTACATGCATTTATGGCCATATGCTGTCAGCCATTGATATAGTGACTTTCCCAGACCATATTTACACAAAGCACTTGGCAATTTGTATTCTTGGTTGTATGATTGAGGGTAAAGATTGTTCAGGGGGTTAGATTTAGGCCACAAGAGTAGGTTTGGCACAGTGACGTTATTATTATAGAAATGTAGCAAAAAGCTTCGACTATAAAGAAAAAAGACCCCTCCCACAGTTAAAAATGATAATAAAAACAATACATTTTATTTATAGTGCACTTTACTTTTACAGGAAACCTCAAAGTGCTACAGAATGAAAATACACAACCACAAACAATCCAAAGCAAAATAATCAGAAGTACATAAATACATCAAAAAGATACTCGAAGGGTTAAAAGCTAATAAAATCCCTAATAGCTGTGTTTAGACAGACAGACAGACAGAATGATAGATACTTTATTGATCCCGTCGGAAACCAGAGTTATAATAATTCCATACTTTTGTAAACAGGGTCCAATTGTCCCCAAAGGCCACTTCCATTTGGACATTGTCGCACGTGATCAATAGTTTCTGCGTCTGTTCAAAGCTCGGAAAGACACGGGCCCCCAGTGGAGTGTGGACGGACGGAGCCAGCGGGGCCCGGACCCCCCTCACAGAGACAGGGCGGCTCTACGGGGGACGGGCCAGACACCTGCCAGCTCCAGGATCAATCCTACAGGAGAGACGGGCCTTCACACTGCATTAGTGAGTTCTAAAGGAGATGTGTGAGTGAGTGTGTGTGAGTGTGCCTGCATGTGTGCGTGTGCCTGCGTGTGTGTGTGCCTGACCACGTGTGTGGGTGCCTGACCACGTGTGTGTGTGTGTGTTCAAATGTGTGCCTGCGTTTGTGCCTGCCCATGTGTGTGTGTTCATATGTGTGCCTGAGCCTATGTTTGTGTGCGTGTGTCAGTGTGTGTTTATTGTCAGGATTTAAGCAGACAGAGACGGATCGTGGTGTGCCAAACTCTGGAAGTTTATTTAAGTTTCTCTCAAGTTCCACTGGTTTACTCTGTTTCTTTCTCTCAGACAGAATAAAGGCAGTACACAGTTTATATAGTCATTGTCACGTCACACATCGAAAGACATACGTGTCACAAAGAGACAGTCACATCATAGTCATAACATGGAGTCCTTGTAGAGTCCTTGTACAGTCCTGCACGTAGGCCATATTGCTATCTAATACTAACACCCTCCCCTTTGATCACATAATCACATGTGATCACTCAATTTGATCAATCAATAAAATGGAAAAAGAAAAAAAAAAATTCCAAAAAAAACTTCGAAAAATTATTAAAAACAAAGAAAATGTATGCATTAAACTCATAATCATCAAATCAATATCAGTGGATTTTATCCTCTATCCTGGGAAAAAACAAACAAACAAAAATAAAGTAAATAAACAAACAAAAAACAAATCAAAAATAAAAAACAAACAAACACACTATTGGACACACAAGAACTCAGCAGATTCAGTCAAAACACAGACAAAAACGAGCTGAGTCTCAAATTTGAAGCTAATTTCACTTTTATTACTCTATACTTTTATTCTAATGATAATTGTTTACACTTCACTTATTTCACTGTATTATTTTCACTTATCAATCTTAGACTGTGTACTTTACTTTTACTATTCACTATAGTTTAAAACTATTCTAATCTATTTACAAATATGTTTGCATATTTGCTTCTATTGAGCCATATTCTTAAACATACATTTTAATCTAATAAATCTCTCTGTGGTTTTACACTCTCATTATCAGTGGCATATTATCAGTGGGATTTTGCTCCATGTCTATTCTCATTCTCAGGAATAAAACTGTGAACACAGTAAGGCAAATGGTCAACATTTACACTTCTATAGTGGTCAGTGATTTATTACTTTTTATTATCTAAAGATATTATTGTCAGGCAGTTTGGGATGAATGTACATCATTAATCAAATTAGTATTATCCTAATAGTAGCTAATTAGGTTTGGGGTTGGGGTCAGTTATTCTACAATGGTATTTGTGCTGGAAACTTCTCAATATCTAAATATCTACTATTGTGTTTTTGTGCTATACACAAATACATCAAAATGCTTTTAAATGCTTTTGAATCTCTGTTGGTGCTAATCTATCTCATTAATCTAGGCTACACTCATATGGACTTTTTGCATAGTCAACATTCACTCATGTTTGAACACAAGTGAATTTGGCAGGTATCTAATAAAACTGTACATAAACTGTAATTAACTTTATCTACTTTTGAAGTAAATGCTTGTGAAATGGTCCCTTTACCATTTGATATTAGCACTGGCTAGAAATATTCTCTATTTTTGAAAGCATCTATGGTTGATGCATTTATCTATTCCTATTTTTACTCTATTTTTTAACTCCAAAGCTCGGTTGCAGCTAGAGCCAAGGCATATTTCTAGTTTGTGACTTCTGTCACTTTTAATATCTCTAAAATACTCTGATTCTAATATTATAGCTGATCTATCAAAAGGATAACATTGTAGGGTACTATTTTAACTCTTACGTGGAAATATGTTTATGAACAACAAAGGAAGTCAAATTCTACTCTTTTACTACTATTTAACATCTACTAAAACGCTACAATACTTATACTTTATCATTTTCAAAGTTTTTGTCTGTCAGATGTCTGAATACTTAACATGTATATTGCATTTGTCACAGTTGTGGTTGTAGCAATAGCATCAGCAATAGACGTTTTCATTGGCTGGTTCTTGTTCTGCAAATGTCTGTGTCCAATAGATCATCAGATGTCCAGAAGCTAGGGACAAACAAAAACAAAAGAAAGAATCATGAGTATCTCTCTCATTTAGCACTCATCAATGTATGATTTCAAAAATATAAACATCACTCCCCAGGTTTTTCTCTCAGGTCCTCAGATCCTCAGGTCCTCAGGGTCCTCTGAGGGTGAGGTTAGGTCTCAGTCGTCATCAGGTCAGGTCATAGAGAGATGTCATCTTGGTCATCAGTAGGGTCCAAGCCATGGTTCTGGTTCTGGTCTCCAGATGCACATCAGATCTCCAGATACAGTCTTTTCAGTTGAAGCACATCAGGTCATTTGCGATGCACTTCTGGTCAATGGTGCAGTGTCTCAGTTCCTGTACACAGCTTGTTATGCAGTAGTTACTCTCTATGGTTAAGTCACTTTGATTCTACTTTAAAGACAATTTCTATTCATGCTGTTGCTAATGTCTCTTAGACAAAAGCAAGCGCAATGATTCAGTTTACTTCTCTAATTTGGGTTTGGGTTTTTATCAGATGTAATCAATGTAATTACTTCACACAGTACAAAATCAAAACATCAAAAGTGTCAGGACAGAGGTCAATTAAGTCCATGACAATATAGAATTCAAATGAACATTTCTGGTCTCAAAAAATACTGATTCAACTAAAGATTCAAGTGATAGACAATTGAAAATGTGTTTACATTGGAGTAAACTTTTAAAATGCTTTTTTCTCATGTTCTGCTTTTTCATGTATCTATATGTAAATGTGAATGTGTGAGTGTATGAGTGTATGTGTGTATGTGAATTTTGGGGTTGTTTCTCCAGACTCCTCGAACCACCTGTAGGTGTCAAAGGTCACACTGTGGTGATGCAAACCAACTGGACACACTTTCAACTGCCTCTAGGTCTCTCCCTGACGCTCCACCCATCACTGCCTCCAGAAACCTCCACTTTGTGGCCCCGGTCTCACTCCCACTTACTTCTGTAGTGGGGGGAGGGGCGTAGAGGTGGCATTGTTGCCCTTTGCTCTTAGCTCTGTGGCCTGTGGCTGGGTGGGCGTTGCGCTGTCCAGTGTCCAGCAGTGACCTCTCGTACAGTGAGGCAGAGTCTGAAAAACAATCCTTGACACGGCCAATTTAAAAAAAACAATAGATATCAGTATGCGAATGAGATTGTTTTTCTCCCTAAAGTCAAAACAATTTTGGAGCGCTCTGGGTTTTCCCACATGCGCTATATAAATAAAAGATTACTTATTATCTTACTAATGATGACATTTTAAAACCAGAAACTCTCAATATAAAAAACAAGACTCAAATCTCTTAAACCTTCTTAAACTTTAAAATATGTATTATGTACTTTTGCACTGTGTGATTAATTATCTATGCATTTATCTCAGCATATATTTTACTAATTTAAAATAATTGCTGCATTTTTCAAATGAAGTC